ACATAATTAGGTGAATTGTCACCATATTCTCAGATATGTGACATAACCCATACTCTTGTGACTTGCCACCATTTAGCACGTGTGGCACGTCATATATTTACTTAGGCAATGATCAACCAACCTTATATCCTTCTTATTTTCTTAGACTGAAACCATAGGTTATAACACTAATTAGGGCTCTGTCCGTGTGACTAGACTACCCAAGCTCACAAATCATGAGGTGTGATCTGGTCAAAGATCATAAGACTCACTCTCAGACCATGGCTTCCCCTATTCTCAAATCCCTAAGGTGTCTCCTATCTTAGGCTATTCTCCTCATTAAACCGGTAGAGATAACTAGGTTCTAATCCCTTGACAAACTATGGGACAATCCCTTGACAAACAGTGGGATAAGGCTATAGTCCCCGTGCCCTTGAGGGTAGCCTAAATATCATATAGATTTTTCTCTACTCTCAATCCCTAAGTGAACTCTCGCCACTGATCATGCCATAATCAATACTTACTTGTATTTATTTTTTACTTTCATTCACTTACTATTATAACAACCACGTTGGTCTCATGCCTTACACTACCCAAGTGTGTATTTTCATCATTTTCTCAAATTTATTTTATTAATAACACACAAATACCTCTACACATCATCACATTCATTTTTTTCAAAGGTATAAGCAATTTCATAGTAAAATCCTCTTGATTTTGTATTTTGCATTTTCAAGCCAAAAATAGCTTTTTCATACACTCAATGAAACTAATGTGCATAATGTTTACTTTAACAATCCATTCCAAGCATGTAACATTCACAATTAACATTCATCAACTAATTAACCATCAATTAACATATAACTACCTAAAGTAGAGTTTTTCCTTGGTTACCTCAAACCTTTGAAAGGTCAAAGGTTTACCCCTCAATCAACTAGCTTCCAAGTTTGAATTTTCACTCCAATAAGTGACCAAGAGCCAAAACTTCAATCAACCAGGTTGAATTTCATCAACATAACAAACTCAAACATTTGAACCCTCAATCTCTACTTCTAAATTGGCCAACCTTCACTTTACAAGAGGTCGAGCCTAACCATTGGGTTTAATAATTACCTTTAGCCCCCAATAACATTAGTGAGCCATTAAATTCTCATTAATGACATCATAAACTTCTAACCACCCATAATAAATGGAATTTTAGGGTATTAATGGTGCCTAACAATCCAAGACACTAAAACTCATTATACCTAGGTTTATATACTCTAATCTATCCCCATTAACTCTATTTGAGTCAACAAATTCGAACCCATAACCTATATGGACCGAAATCCCACTTTCACTATCAAGCCCTAACCAGAAACTCATAAATGTGAAAGAAATGGGAAGATTAATGAGTATGGTACTTACCTTGGGTGTTTGTAGCCTTCAAAATACTCTCAAAGTCATCCCCAAGTAAATCTTAGTAGAGCATTGGTGCATCCCTTCTTTCTTTCTTTCCTCTTCTCTCTATTTCTATCTCATTTTGCGTCTAATAAACTGTAAAAAATGGCCATACGCCATGGCAGACGCACAACGTACCGTGGCACATGGCACAGAAAGGTCTTCCCTCGCTCAGAAATGGCTGTGTGCTGTGGTGGACGATCTACGCTCCGTGGCGTGTGGCACAACAACTTCAACTCTCCCTTTTCTTCTCTTTTCGATGCCCGGGTGGCCCACCTCGATATTAGACCCACAATTAGGGCTGAAATACCACGAAATATAATTATTAAACCTCTCTGGCCACACACCACTTCAACTTACTTAATTACCCTAATTAGGTTTAATTAATTAGAGAATTAAAACTCGAGATGTTACATGTGGCACTTGGATTGTTGGTTTTTTTGCAAAAACTAGGAATTTATAGTGTCCATAAGGTGGAAGAATGAGCTATCTTGAAGGGCCTTTAATTTGTGTAGGATATGGGGTTCAGCAATGTGATTTTAGAATTAGATTCAAAACTGATTATAGACAGACTACATGAAGATGAGGCATTTTTCCAACAAGGAAGTATGGTGCTATAGCAAATTAGAAGCATGTTGACATTTCAGTGGAACTTATATTGCCATTGGATAGCAATAAAGAAGAACAAGATTGCTAATAATCTTGCAAAGGATGGCTTACAAGTCTCACATTTATATGACACCACCCCTCCTTTCTTGAGGGTCTTGGTGCATGAAGAAAGTATGGGATTTGATTCCCTAACAGTTTAAATTTCTGTAATTCGGGCTTAGGCCCTCCCTCTTAACAAAAAAAAAATCATTGATTATCAAAATTGAGTTAAAAATAAAGACTAGGCCTGGGTTGGCGGCCCTATTTCAAGCTTTAAAAATTAATTTTTTTAAAAGTAATCGAGCTTGAAGCCTGATCTTAATAAGCCTTGTAAAAAAAGGTTGAACTTAGACAGTCCTTTAAATCTGATTATATTATTATTATTAATTTTTTTTAGTGAAACACACGTTTAAAGTCAAGAAGAACCTACTCGCATGAAGTCCTAATCTTACACGTGTTATATTATTTATTATTATTATTATTATTATTATTATTATTATTATTATTATTATTATTTTAAATTTAATCTAAAATTAATTTAATATAATTTAATAAATATTAGTATACAGCATAAAATTTCTAATTTTTTATTTTTTATAATTATTATGTTTATATATTTATAAAAAAATGAACTGTTTTTTAACCAAGATTTAAATTTTATTATTAAATCTCTAAATATGTGTCATTTAATCTTTAAAAAATTACAAAAATTTTCTTTTTTTTAATTTTAAAATATTTTAATTAATTTATAGTGTTAAATTTTATTTTATTTTTTTAAATTTTTTTAAAATAAAACTTACAACTTAATCCTACACCTTTCAAATAAAAACCAAGCTTTAAAGGAAAGAAAAAAAATTAATTTTAAAAACTTAAGCCTTAAAGGGGGCCGCTGATTTTCCAACTCTAGATCACAGTAATGAAAGTGATGTATTATTTCATTTTCCATTGAGAGCCTTGGAAAGTTGAAAGCAACCAAAACAAGACCACGATGCACATGACATGGACGTATCGGAATCAGTCACTGACGTTAATCCAACAAATACTTGAAAACACAAAGCCCCGTCATATCAAGGAATTAATACTACGCAACGACTCATTGTGAAGTCAATATTAGTCACTCCTTTTGAAGGGTTTTAAGGCATGGCAAGTTTGGAAGTAAAGAAAATTTGCATTGTTTACCCCAAAAAAAAAAAACCAGAGGAAGAAATTCTTACATAAATTTAACTCATCATATTATTCATGTTCTTAATTAAAATTATATAATTTTAATTAAATAATTATGTATTATTATTTTGGAAATAAGATATCTTTTTAATTCTTTTCTTTCCTATCATCATCAACTTTAAAATTAATTTATATTTATAATTATATGATATGATAAGTTTTTATTAAATAGAATATGAATGGTGTGATACACTAAGTGCATACAAGAACTTATAAAAAGCAGAGCCATTTGGGTCTTATAATATCCTCCCCATTTATTATTTTCTTGTCGTTAATATCTTGAGAACCAAACAAGTTTATAAGAAAATCTACCAAATCAAGTAACACTCAAAAGAAGAACAGGGGGAAAGGAATAAATGCAATTGAATTGAGAAATTTTCTACGTACTTGTGTTTGTTCATTTTCCAGTGATTATACCAATAATCTAATCAAAGTGATGCTACAATTCTTTTTCTTTTTCTTTTTTCTTTTCTTTTTCCAAGAAAAGTTTTGGAAAGTTAAAGCAACCAAATTATGATGTCAAAGCATATTACAAAGACACAACAAAAAATCAATCATCAACGCTAAACCCTGTCATGTTTAAATAACTAGGACTAGAATTACAAATGTGAGTGGAAGACTAAAAGCCCTCTCGAATGAATATAAAATATAAATTAATGTTAAATTTAAGTTTGGCTCATTTCTACTTGAAATTCGGTAATCATTTATTTCTCCACGTTTCTGAACACTTCCTTTTTTTTTTCTTTTTGACTCGTCTTAGCCGTCTTTTGGATAAGCTCAGATTGCCAACTTATCATTTCTGGCCTTCCTGCCTTCCCCTCGTACTCAACATTACTACGATAGTCAACAATTTCTCTCACCTCACCAAGCAAACAAAGTGAACGCGATAAATCAATCTGACAAAGAATTTCGTTAAATGAAAAAATAATAATAAAATATTTTTAAATTATATAAATAATATTTTAATTTTTAAAATATTCTAATTTTTTTAAAAAAAATTTAAAAAAATTTATCATTAAAAAATTAATATAAATGATTAAATTATTCTTAATTCAAAATATTAATTATCATTCATAAATTTTATTTTAAAATTCATAATTTTTTTTTAAATTGTAAAAATTCAATAGCAATTCACAAGTTTTTATTTAAAATTTTGATATTTCTTGAATATTGCAAATATTAATTATCATTTATAAGTTTTGTTTCAAGATTCACAATTTTTTTCCTTAAAATCATGAAAATTCAACAATAATTCACATTAAAAATCCTGATATTTCTCAAATGTTATAAATATTAATTTTCATTTATAAATTTTATTTTAAGATTCACAATTTTTTTAAAAAAATCACGAGAATGCAATGACAATTTGCTAGTTCACATTTGAAATCATGAATTAAGAGCAATTTAATAATTTATATTAATTCCTCAACAATAAAAAAGCTTTTAAAAACTTCAAGAGAATTATAACATTAGATCCAAATATCATTTATATTTCAACAAAATTTTATTATGTTTCCTAGTTAAATTCTCTGCTGACCCGAGAAAATAAAATTGCTATTTAAATTCAACCCTAAACTCTGACCCAAAAAAAAAAAAACAATTCAACCCGAAATTGTTCATCACAACTATTAACCAGTTGATCCTGCTGGTCCACAAAATAATTTGAACAGAATGCCTAGTTTTTTTTTTTTTTAAAAGAAAGCCTAAAATCTTGGAAACACTCTTGCCTAATACTTGTAAGGTACAATAATTTGGATTACCCATCAAAATCCTAGAGACTTAATAAATAAGATGAATCAAGTCATCTATATACAAAACATACAAGTTATTTTACAACCTACAGATTGGAATGTTACAGTTTGCGATTGATCAATCAAAAGCCTATCAAACAATCTGCAGGTCATTCGTCCTATTTGTTCAGCCCTTGGGGGTTTTGGTGGCTAATTCAAACTGACGTATGAAGTCATCTATATATTTTAAATTCGACACAAATACTCCAAAAACTTGCAAAATAGGATGAATGAAGTCATTTATACACCAACAGTGCATAAAATCCATCTCTAGATAGGAAAAGCATAGTTTGGGTACCCAAACCCAAGGGTTGGATCAATTGAAGGATTTTGTGGGTTAAACTGGAGCATTGGCGATGACTGATGCACTGGAAGACCTGAAGAGGCAACTTGGGTTTGAAGGCTTGAAGGAGCGACCTGGTTTTGATCTACAAGTTCCAGGTTGGTGTCAGCAGTTGTGATATCATGGATGCTTGCTCTTTTCCTTTCTTTCTTTGTTTTTTCCCTTTGGCGATTAAAATATTTCTGAGCATGGCTAGCTACCTGAGTTGGTGTTCTAGTCACCACAACATTTCTAGAAATGCTCCTCCAATCTCCCTTGCCATATTTCTCCAATCCTCTTAGGAATAGCCTATTTGAGAAAACAAAAGGGCAGATACATGATCAGATTAACCATCAAAACGATAACTCAAAAGGAACAAGCAAAGGACAAGGTTTCAATTCCATTCCTAACATGATTCTTGAAAGCTAAAGCAACCAAGACAGGACAATGGACATAATAAAGACAAATCAAAATAAGTCATTGGATCTAACCCTACGCATTCTTCGAGAAAAAAGCAATCATATGCAAGAATCAAAACAAAAACTTGAATATGGTGAAGGCATCATTCAAGTGTGATTGATTGGTCTAGCCTTTAGCTCAAGGTGATTTTCATTTTGTAAGATAAGGGTATTTTGTAATCCATACACCCAATATCCAGGATCAACGAAAAAAAATAAAAGGTGATGGCCCCTCATGTGGACGGAACGACAGAAAATAATGCATCATAGACTGGGCAAAATATGAGTCAAATTGTCATGAAAAGCAGGTTAAAAAATTGCAATGCATACGATTTTTTTGGCAAACTATTCTTAACAACAGATATGTTTAGGTGAGCAGTTATGTATGACATATTTTAGAAGAAATTTTTTTTAAAGGAACCTGACAATTCGTGAAACGAAATTTGGATTTGAACCATTAGAAGGCTGCCATGACAAATTGAACACCTGAATATATATATATATATATATATATATAATATATACATACACTCAAATAGCTCTTGACAGCAGATAAAGGAAGGGGACAGGGGGAATACAGCAGAGGAAGAGAATTATAGAAATTAGAAAGAAGGAGAAGAGAAGAAATACAGAGGGATCAGAAGGAAAGAATACATCAGAGAGAAAAGATTACTCAAATCATCCACACCCTACTCATTCGTCCTCTCCTCTTATATAGCCATGGATTCACGTTTATAATTCTCTCTCTTTTCGGTTATTCTAACAGCATCTTGCAGAGCAAAAAAGGCAGCACCACGTCTCTTTCTTGGGTCCCACCAATACTTATCAAATTCATCACAAAGGCTGCCGATGTGGATTCGACGTAGAAATTTTGATGGAGGACCTAGGGCTTTAGAGAAGAAGGTAGGAGCATAGAATTTAAAAGCTCGCCATAAGAATTAGTGGGTTTGAACGATAAGACCAGTGAGATGAATTAAACAGCTTTACTTCAGAAAAACTTCAGAATTGCGTGAAGAATAAGTCAAACAAAAAAGCTTACAAGTTTTCGACTAATTCCTTGGAAACCAAAACTTCAATTTTCCGAACCCGTTGCCAACCTGGACAAGTTCTTTCCTATCTACTATTTGTTTTCTCGGAAAACATACACGTTCATAACAAAAATGTCTAAAATCAAGCACAGTCAACACTCAACAGAAATAGGAAAATCGAATTGAAGAATTTTCTAGCCAGTAGCCACCACATACCTGTGTTCTTCCTCAGTCCAAGGCGTGCCCTTCTTTCTGTCGGTATCAGAATTCTTGGGTGGCTTCGAGTTAAAAGAAATTTGACTAGCGGAGTTCCAATCGGAGGAGGAGGGCTCAGCATCGGAGGGAAAGTCAGGGAAGGCCGGAATCGGGATGCGACCAGCATCAATCTCGGCGACATCGTGTAGAAGATCGTGGTATCGTTGCAAGACCAAATCGACGGTGGCGCCGGGGACGGCGTCAGCAATCTTCTCCCAGCGGTTGGGGGAATCATCAGGAAACATTACGATAGCTTGCTCGAGGAGCTTGTCCTCGCGGCGAGTCCACTGTGTCATCCCGATCCACTAAGATTTGACTCGCCCAGGTACCGAATAGAGAAATTCAAATATAGAGAGAGAGAGAGATTAGATAGTTAGTTTCTGGGAATATACGAAAACTCGCTTTCTTGGAGATTTCAAATGGTGAATGAAAGGCTTGCTAGGAGCAAGAGTGTAAAACCCTTCTTATATAGGGGGAGAGCGGGAGAGATAATGAATGAATTAATAAATAGGCTGTGATTTTTAATTTTGTTGGTTGAGTAGAATTTGGAAAATCAACCTGGCGGAGGTGGGACCAGCTCAGATGCCAATATCAACACGTTTTTTTCTTACCCTAGAGTTATTTAAAAAAAAATGTCGGGGTCGTAAAGCTGTACACTCCAAAATTGAAGAGTTAGAGTCGAAGTCAAAAATAACAACCAACGTCAGATCCGGTCCGATAATAGCCTCGACCTGAATTCGGACTCGGCTGGAAACGGACTCGGTGAACCTGCCAAAACAAAACAAATACAAAACAAAGGAGCTTGTTTGTTTTTAAAAATTATTTTTTAAAAAAATTAAAAAATTAAAAAATTATTTAAATAAATTTTTTCATTTAATTGTTTTTAAAAACAAAAACATAGAAACAACTTTAACTTGTTTTTGTTTTATTTTCCATATTTATAAAATACATTAAATTTAATTATTAAAAATTATAATTATCTTGATCAATTTCTATTATTAATCACCACAATTAATTGTCTGGTATCATCATTATCAATTTATTTTTTAATTTTAACATTATTTTTTATTTCACATAACCAAACATATTTTTATTTTATTTTAAAAACTGTATTACAAAATAGTTTTTAAAAATAAAAAATGAGAATAGAAATCAAACAAATCCAAAAACATTTTTTTTTCATTTTTCAAGATATGTGCAACATGCTTTATTAATAAAGTACTCATGCTCATTCCAATGCTGTTATTTCTACTAATTTTGTCAATATTAATAGTTTAATATAACAAAAATATAAGACATAAAAATAAGTAAAATTTCAAACATAATATTTAAGTAAAAAGTAAAAAGCAAATAAATTATATGATATTATTTTTTTATCTCTTTAGTGGCAAGAGATGCAAAAAATGAAATGAATGGGAATTTTTAACATTTGGTGTGGATAACAAAGTGAAATCCATAACCTTTTAAAAGGGAGTCACATTGCAGATATAGAAAAAAAACAAAACCAAGAAACAAAAAGGGACCACTAGTAGGCCTTCCACCATAGAAAAAAGGTACCTCTCTTTTAATTTAAATGTTCCAACCATGTGGAAGAATGGGGACAATGAAGTAAATAGGCAGATGAAGTCAATCAATATTTCCTCAGTAAAAGCTCCTCTAATGCATGAGAGCATCTACCTGAACAACAACCAAAGTGAATATCAACATATTCTAATGAATGAAGAAAGAAATTATAAGGATGGCTATCTTTTTTATAAAAATTTTAATGTTGTCATACTTCCTCTCCAAGTGTTTTGACAGCAACATGTGCCACGTCATAATGAAACATAAGTGTATACCTTTGATAGGTTAACATTACTAGTAAAATCGAGTTTTGAATGATTAATCTCATATTTTGGGACTTCATGAACATTTTGGACATACATTAAAGCCATCCAAAACAAATGAGAAATGTTTCAGTTCAATGTTAAAAAAATTGAAGTCAATGATAAGAATATTTAATCAAGCTACAAAATGGGGGGTTTTGTTCCATGTTTTTCCAAAAGTTTTACAACATCATGATTTTGTAGTACATTGCATTTGCTAGAGGCAATAAAAGAGACATGAACTTGTATTAGGCTAAAGAGTTTGTATTCATACACCTAGCCAAAAACTTGTCAAATTGAGATACTAAATCAAAGCTAAAGAAGTATAAACCAAAATTATCACACAGAAAAAGCTAATGTTGACAAATGAGATTATCTTGCCCAATAATAGAGAATGTAGGCAATTTCTATCACTCATTCACCTAGCTAGATTCATAAGAAAACAATAAAATGATGAAAACCTATGACGTTTTTTTTTTAAATCATATGACATGTCATCACATTGAAACGTAGACAGATATGGGAGACAGTCCAAATGAATCACCAAGGAAGCCACCATGTGAAAGAAGAAGGTTCTTATTAAATGAAGAACATATAATCATTTATAAGATTTTGTTGAACTCAAGCTATCATGGTAAGTTGAACAGTTTTACAACAAGAAAGATAGTTTAAGCTTACTCAGCTTCAATGAGAGTCATTCAATATATTTGGTGTCAAGTTAAGGAAATAGGTAATGGTACTCATAAAAAGACAAACAATTATAGAAGAAAGGGAGCATTAGTGAACATGGAACAAGTCGTTGCAATTCTTGTACAACAATGGGCTACTTACAGGTCTTTTGCAAATGCACTGGGGGTTAATAAGATATCACTTATTAGACTTAAAAAAAGGAGTTCTGTGGTGCCATACAAGTGCAATCAAGCCACATTTGAAGGAGCAAAGCATGCTTGTTTGATTGAGGTGGTGTTTGTCCATGCTTGAATAAGAAAATATATCAAATGATTTAATTTTTCAATCTATACACAACATAATCCATGTTGATGAAGAATGGTTTTATATGACAAGAAATCCATGACCTACTACTTGGCAATAAGGGAGGAGCCACCACATTAAACATGTGAAAATAAGAACTATGTTGGCAAGGTTATGTTCCTAATTTTGTGGCTAAACCTGAATTTGATACACAAGGGAATGGAATTTTTTCTATGAAGATTGGTTTGTTTTCATTTCTTAAAAATGAGGCATCAAGGAGAAGGAGTGTCATCAAAAGCAAAGGCATAATGAAAACAAAACCAATCACTTTAATTACCAAAGAAGTCATGAAATCTTTTCTAATTGATATAGTACTACCAGAAATCAAAGAAAAATGGACAATAAGTCATGCGAGTGAAACCATTTTTATTTAATAAGATAATTTTCCTTGTCATATTGATGACAACAATGAGGATTTTTTTATGGTGGCAAGTGAAGATGGGTTTGATATTTGCTTGATTTCAGACTCATGTGATTTAAACATTTTGGATCTTGGGTATTTTAGAGCCACTCAAGCACTATAACACCAAGAAGCACCTAAAAGTTATCAAGGCCAGATAAATCATTTAAAATTTACACATATAAGCAATTAAACAAGATCTTCCTAACATTACAAGCTACTATGATCGAAATTATAAAGGACAAAGATTCAAACAAGGATAAACCAAGCCATCTAAAGAAAAGTATGATGGAAAGGATAAACCTTTCCTGATCGAAGAAGTGTTGGAGAACTTACAAGAAGTGGATAGATGATTGACAATAATGGGTGGATGTTTTATTTCTTTATAGGTAGTTGGTTCACGTTTCAATTTGACATTAAAGGGGTGGATGTTTTTATAAACCCTCTACATTTTGGTCATCAATGTTTTATGTTACAACTTCTTATTTAAATTGCAGCATACATTATTAATAGTCAATATGTGGATGAACAATTTTTTTTTATGATGAATGGAAATCAAACTTCTAGACTGGTGTAGCACACACCATGCATTAAAGATAGAGAACTATAATTTATAGAATAATACCAAGGCAAAATACTTCTACAACAAATTATAATTTGCACATGGGAATAATATAAGGAAGGAAAGAATATAATTTTAATTTCTCAAGTGATTACAATGATGTTCTCCAATAATAGGATTGTGAAAAAAAACCCCACATATTATATTTCTATTGGAGCATCTCATAGCAAACATATTAACAATTTTATTAAGTCTTACAAAGAATAAGCTATCAATCATAAATCATATGAAAAAAAATAGAAAAACTAGCATAGCTTCATATATGGGAGAACCAATTCACTTGCAAGAGTTTTGCATAACAAGTTGTAAACCAAAGGACATAATCAGAAAACAAAAAACAAAGTAAAATACAAGATTTGGTCACACACGTCAATGAAAGCCTGAATGAAGCTGAGATGAAACCTCATCAATATATGTAGTATATGTATGACAAGCAACATTAGACTAACCAAAATAAACTAAAATATCATTTATCAAAACAAGCTTTACATTTATAGTAGCAACTTTAGACTAACCAAAATACACAAAAGTAGTAGAAATTTAAGACTAACTAAAATACACAAAATAAGTAGAAATTTCAAACTACTCAACATACTTAATCTTTATGCAGCATATGATGCAAAGTGTCATACATAAATCGCTTATGCTCTTTCTCTTCCTTGATAAGATGTGCATATTCCTCTTTTAGAAATGGAAACTCATTAAGGTTGAATGAGTGGATAATCTTCTTCTTTTTACATGCTTACCCAAACCCTGGAATCATGATGCCATTGTCACTGCTTACTTCTTCATCATCATCAATTACCTCTTTATTCAAATAAAATAAGTGGACTTTCTTTTTATACTCCACCTTGACAAAGTCTGAAGACAGAAATGAAGTATCTTCTAGATGAGGTGCTTTTAAAATCTTTTGATTTAGAGAGGTTACTTCTCCAATAAGGTTGAATTGTGGAAAACCATTTCCCATCAAAAGAATCATAGACTATACACCCCATCAATTCATCTTGTGATAGACTCTCAAAACCATTTTCCATCGAACACAATGCAGAACTTGAATAGTGAGATTTTGGCCAACTGTGACAAGTGCTCAGCCAAAAGAGAGGCATCTAGAGACTAGGAGTGAAGTGAGAGATAGAGAGAGAGAGAAGATGAAGATAGAAGTGTGAGAGAAATTGTCATGAAAAGAGCAAGAGAAAAGTTGAAGAGAAGCAATAGAAAGGAATAGTAAAGACAATAGTAATTTGGGGATTTTAATTTAAAATAAAACATCTCCATCAGTCAGTGAATTATGAAATAGACCACTTTAGGCTTTTAGAGTACAACCTATAAACCAAATTGAAGGGAGTAAGATTTAATTAACCACCAAAACACTTGGTTTGACTAGTAATAAAACTATATTAGCTTAATCAAACATCTTGAAAGTACAACATTATTAGTATTTGTTAGTGATAGAGCTTTTATTCAAAAGAATCTTGCCTTAACTCAGACTTGTCTTATTGACTTCCCTTTTAGCTCAATATGAGATAAAC